ATATGTATTTGACGATAACTAATCAGAACGCTATTATAGGGAGTGTCTAAGTACCGTGTTATACTATAATCAAATTTTCTTATCATCTAACATGTACCTATAATTTAAAAAAAAGTATAATAGCACACAGCTCATCATAAAAATATGACAATGATGTGTTTCTTATACTACTTAAATATCATATATTATGCATATTTCCAGTAATCAGACAATAATATCTGAATACTATGTATAGGTATTGTATAGTGTAGTATAATATACCAATATAAGAAATGTGGAGGCAGATAAAGCAGAAAGAAATGTGTTAAATAGTCCCCCCTGTGAAATAATTACTTTTTCATCACTTGTTGATATAAAAAAAAATATTAACAAAATATTGCATTGATTTGTGGAACAGAAAATGGCACACTACCACGGAAAATAAGTTAAGAGAAATTTAGTACTCTGTTGAACTCTGGCCAAAATACACTGACCTAAACAGAAAAAATTAGGTAACTCTTAATCGACTTATAAATTGTACAGACAATTATTATATTATCCTAATGCAATATAAACTAAATAATTGAAAATGAAAACCATTAAATAAGTATTTAACGGCCAACAATAATACTGAGACTATTATGCGTCTTGCGATCAGATTTGAAATAGTATTGGTAATGAATAGTTATATTACCCGGGCATAATAATTATACATAATATTATTAAAAGAACATAATACGATTAAGATACCAGAACAAAAGATTTCGGGCAGTGGTGCGTCTAAAATGCCTATCCAAAACGCCGTGTGATAATAATTCAATTATTGACATATTATTTATTTTATAATATTATGGTTTTAAAATTGTAATACTAGCAGTATCACTACTATACAATATAACAAAAAGATCGAAAATTCTGCAAAAGTGATCACTTAGTACCCCAACTGTTTGAAATAGATATGAAAATACAAGAATGTTTTCATAAATTATAAGTCTATGTATTTATGAATTCTGTACAAAGAATCTGTTTTGTTTTATTTATAAATTGTTCTTTTAATTAAAATAGTACTTATTTAATTGTTTTACAATAATATTATGATATTTATGTGGACTTTATATAACATTTTACCTATCGCATTTCTTTTATGAAATCAGCTTCAAGTCTTTGAAAATGTTAAATGAAGATTCTCTATATTTTCTAATTAAAATTAATATAATATAATTAAATGTTGGCATTGTAATATAAATTTTATGTTGTTTTAAAATACTCACTAAATGGTTTTCATAAAATCAAATATTATAAAATCTACGATTCCTCAACTACTATATAAAATAATTCTTCAAGATAATTAAATAATAACTTAATAATCAAAATAAAACACTGTGTAAAAGTTCATGGACTTTTTCATCAAAAACAGTTTTAAATTTTGATTATGTGGACAGTTTTAAGTTAATTATGACTTAAGTGATCTATATTATTCAATATATAATATTATATATATTATATTTTTATTGATTTAAAATACAATATTATTCATGATAATGAACTAACTAAGATGTTTTCAACTACTTTAATATATATGTATGTACAATATACCTATTGATTTTAAGTATTAATATTTATATAAAAAGTGTTGCACTAAAGGCTGGATAAATTAAATAAATTTTGTTCTACTAAATTAATTAATTTTTTTTTATACATTATTTATGGACACTTCTTTACGATACAATAACAGTAAACTGAAAACAAAAATTAAAAATGTTTTTAATTTTTATTGTAAAAATGCAAAATAGTTAATTTGCAAAACTTATCTTTAGTCAAATGTTGATGATAAAATTTAGGTTAAGTTTATTATTTTTAAATTGTATTAAATAATATCAATATTTTTGGAAATTTCTGACCTACGAGTAAGCATTTGTCTTTAATTGTTTTTTATCCATAACATTTTGATAATTTTTTTCAGTCTTATGTTTACACCGTATAAATTTATTTGTTTTTTATTTTCGGGTATTCTGTTCCATCATATATAATAATCTATGTGTATAAAATAGTGTTGCATATTAATCTTTAAAACATTTCTATGTAATATTTATTCATTATACATTTTGAATAATATATGATATTTC